ATCAGGAGGTCCAGAGCCTGGCTGTTTTGAAGTTCCACTCAAACCTAAGATGTAATTTGTCGTTGGAGGGGATCAATAGATGTAGCTGAGGCTTTGAGTGCTGGTTGCTACTGCTCTTCCACGTCTCGCTAGGTGATAAGACCGTGGACTCCTTTGAAACATTTCTGGATGGGAGAGTCAGTTTGACTTTGGCAGGGTGCTGGAGTTGCATCTGCTCAGCCCCAATATTTTAGTCTTTTGTGTGATAGTTTTGGTGGGGCGGATTAGGCTAGAACAGGAGTGAGCAGAGGCTTGTGTTGAGCTAGGAAGAGTTGGTTAAAAGGTCGTCGAGTGGGGAAGCAGCATCTAAAAACAGAAAACAAAGCTGTGGCAAAGAGAAAGATTTGTGATTTGTTTGGTGTGTGCATTTTAGCAAGTGGTTATGGAGTGATTAGTGGACCTCATCTGGGAACACTCCCAATAAAGCTTGCTTTAAGCTAAACTCTATTTTGTGTGGAGTTTTGGTTCTAAACATAAAATTCAACCTTACAGCGACCATTTGATGCAAGATCTCTCTCCCCCCACCAATGAAATAAGTAAATGAAAAAGTATTTTGTGAATACTTGTGTTCATGATAAAGTAAAAAATGAACAAATAAAAAACCCTCCAGAACTCTAAAAATTGAAACTTCCAACAGCTTTCTGCAAAACTTGGGTTTTAAAATGGCTTATCTCCATTTTTCTCCTTCTGCCATGGGGTCTTTCAGCAGCGAAAGGGTTTTAGGAACGTTGTAAGAGAACCAGCCTCTTTTCTGTTAAGAGCACACTTGGTTTTCTCCTGGGACTCTTGTCCCAGAAGCATAGTCGGAGCCCACACTTGTATTCACACTGTGAATACTTCACACCTCAGAGCGCTGGATGCTGTCAGATCTCCTGGGCACCCCTGGGGTAGCCAGGCAGGCTTGATCATGGCCGTGGCCATGACCCTGGGCCACAGGACAGGATGGATGGACAGGCTGAGAGTCGTGTGCCTTGCATGTGGCAAGTCTGGTTTCTGAAGTGAAACATTAAATCTTTCAAGTTAGTGCTCGAGTTCTCTGCCCTGATGGTGGCTGTCCTGCTGGGTTCTTTGGGGGCCCAAGCCCGAAGGGCAAGATTTTAACTCTCCCCTGCCCACCAACTCTGTGCTGCGTGGTTAACTGCTAGACATGAGGGCCAGGCCTTGTGGAAATGTTTTTTTTTTTTCCTTAGGTTTTAAATATAAGTGGAGGGTTAGACATAAAAAGCAGAGCCAGGGCTTGAACCAGGTGCTGTGACATAGGTTGTGGGTATTGTAAGAGAGATCTTTAGTGCTGATTCTGTCTTCAGCATGGTTCCGTCCTGGTTGTTGGCAGTATTTGAGGAATGAATCAGCAAATGGGACACTTTTTTTGGTTCATCTCTGTCTGTCTGCCTTTCAAATAAAATGAAAATGCCTAAAGCTTTTTTAAAAAATCCTGTATGGTTTCAAAGTGAGGAATGCTTGTGCTGGAGTAAGGATTGTAGTCTTGGCTTTCGATAAGACTCTTCCCTAGGGCATAGATCTGAGCAACTTAAAATTTTTTTTTATAACTGTAAATAACACATTTCATACATTCCTTAGGTTACCGCTCCAAGAAGACAGACTTCCCTTCTGCAACTGTTGACCTTGTTCTCACACCCAGAAAGCTTTAAATGCTTAGTTACAAGATTGGTCATGAGCATCTCCCAGTTGCTTCATCTCTAACTGGTTCAGGATTAGGCCCACGGATGAACAGGTGTGTGGGAAGACAGACAGGCATGGGCCAGCCATGCTCTTTGATAGGAGCACTGAGCTGGTTTGCTCAATAAGAGGGCTCAGACCTGCCAGTCTTCGGGAACAGTGGAGGAGGCAGTGACCTGCCTTCGGCCTGTGTCCATGTTTGCTGGGTGTGTTGTTTCTCTGATGGGAGGTGTCCCTCTTTCTTTCCCTGTTTGAGTCCTGAACCCCATCCATGCCACACTGAAGCTGGAAACTGTGCGGCAGGCAACAGGGACTTTCAGAGGAGGTGAGATGTTTCGGCAAAGTGTGATGGCAGGAGTGACAGCTAGCCTTGGCTGGCCTGTGTGCAGCTGATCCTGGCGTCCTTGGCAGGGGCTTTTCTGTGTGTCACTGCAGTAAACTGTAACCACTCTTAGAAGCTATTCCAGAAACTTCTATTGCCTCTCTCTCTTTTACTCTAACTTAATATTTAATTTGTTAGTTTTGAGATAGCATCTTAAATTGACATTGTAGTCAAAGGCTTAATGTTCTGTTAAGTAAAGAATTCAAGTAAAGGTAAAACAATCAGTTAGGTGGGAAAATAGGCAAGGGTTCTAGACAATAGTTCAATGAAAATATATTCAGTTTCAAACATCAATTCTAACATACAGAATCGTTAACATTGCAGTGTAAAAATTATGTAAAATTGTAAAATTGTAGCGTAATTATTAACAATTTGATAAAGTTTTAAAATAGAATTTGATTAAACACTTTAAAAAAAGTTTCACTTTTCATGGTACAGTTCTATAGGCTTAGGGGTTTCCCCTTTCACCCTGCCCCCCAAACTCCCTTCCTCCCCCACAAATTCTCCTCCTCCCCGACAAACTTCCCCCTCCCGGCAAAACTCCCCTCCTCTTAGCTCCTGTCCCTCCCAATCTCCCTTCCTCCCCTTGCCCCGAACAAAGCAGTATTTTCAACAGCACTGATATACAGACATTTCTTTTTGTTTTGTTTTTTTTTTTAATTTTTAAAAAAATATTATTTTCCACATGTAAGGGTGTCTGGTTATTTGCCTTTCTGGATCTGGCTTATTTCAATAAACCCAGTGTCCTCCAGTGGCAGCCATTTTCATGCAAATCCCCTTGAAACAAATGGCTGAGCACAAAATGAGTGTGGCCTGTGTCCTCCTGTGTCCTTGGTATTTGACCGGCTTAGGCTTACGTGGTGCTTCCGTGGCCTCGTGCAGGGCAACGTGGTTGGTGAAGTGTGTGTGTTTATGGTCACCAGCGGGGTGCAGGCATCATGGCCCATGTGGAGACAGAGGGCCTCGTCCATCAAAATCCTGCCGAGGCACTGCATGCCAAGAAAGAGCATGTTTCTTCTTATTCTTTTTCCTGTCTTTGTTTCTTTTCTTTCTTTTTTTTTTTTTTAAAGTTCTTCATCTGTATTGTGCATGGGCTCCTCACCTTTAATGGAGAACAGCTATCAAAGACAAACCTGTTACCTGTGTACGACGCCCATGTTAATAGGGAGGGGTTGCCTGGAAGGAGAAGCTGGTCTCAACGTCGTTTTTTTTTTTTTTTTAAAGATTGATTTATTTTTATTAGAAAATCAGATTTACAGAGAGAAGGAGAGACAGAGAGAAAGATCTAGTGTCAGGTTCTTGAAAGGCTTCCAAACTTTTGGCATTTTGTCCTTGAGAATCCAGAGGAAATGATGTGGATGGCCTCTGTGTTTACTTTAGTGACTTGGATTTGAAGCTGGAGCATTTGGGAGGAGGCCGCTTTGCGGAGCTTGTAAGGAAGAAGCAGCTCTGGGTGGAGTGGCAGGGAGAGCTCCTCTGCCTGCTGTCCCAGGGTGCTTGGTGGTTTCCTTGCCTTTCTCTGTGGGAGGTTGCTTCCCTTTGTGTCCTCTAGGTGAGCCCCAGTGCCTCCCAGTTTCAGTTTCTGCCTAGGGAATAGATGATGATTTCTTCAAAACCAGCCTGGGACAAGTGGCTTAGTAGTTAAGATATCTGTGTCACTTTTCGTTTTCTTGAGACTTACTTATTTTTATTTGAAAAAAAGAGTTAACTCCAAAAGAAGAAAAGACAGAGACCACTTGGTCATTCCTAAATGCCTGCAATGGCTGGGGCTGGGCTGGCCTGAGGCCACGAACCAGGAGCTTCTTCCAGGTCTTCCCACATGAGTGCAGGGTCCCAAGGACTTGAGCCATCCTCTGCAGGCCATTAGCAGGGATCTGAATTAGAAGTAGAGACACTAGCATTTGAACCAGCACCCAAATGGGATGCCAGTGCTCAGCTTGCTATACCGCCATGCTGGCCTTGTTCTGTTGTCAAGGTGACTCACATTGATTCTCAGCTTTGGCGTCTGATTCCAGCTTGCTGCTAATGCAGACCCTGCAGTATCAGAGGCCCAGATTGAGGTTCCAGCCCTTGGCCCATGCCTAGGCCTGGTCACTGTGGGCATTTGAAGAGTAAGTCAGCTACTGAGAGCTCTCTTTATCATCCTATCCCACAGAGCCTCCAAATAACAGCAGCAACAAGCCAGTATGTGCAATCTATGGCTGATAGAGAACCAGTATGACGTCATCTTTTATCTTGACTTCTGCATGTTCAGTCTTTGACTCCAGACTGCTTACTTAAGGTGCCAGTAGATGTCTTAGAGAAGGTGGAAGTACTTGTAGGTGCACCCTAACTTCCAAGACCTGTGCATGTAGTGTGGCCTGGGACAGATCTTGGGGGCTCCCTTTCCTCATTCATGTTGGTGGCAACATCTTGGTTCTTAAGGGCTATTGAAGCGGAAGTGGCTGAGCCACAAGCTTGCCTCATGCCAGTGCCTTCTGGACCCAGAGTTTGGGAGCATGGATGAAGTGGACGAGAGTTGGCTGTGGTGCCATAACGCAGTTCCTTCCCCTTTCCCTTTTCAGCTGCTTTTTTGCTCCTGCACTCTGGGCTGAGATATCCTGCTAGTTGGCCAAATATGTTTTGAAGACACTGGTTATAATTCTTATAAATACAATACATAGTGTCCTAAGCACCATGCACTATAGCTCTGTTGTCTTTAAACTGAATATTTTAACTTGATGTACAAATGACATTCCATTTCTCTTTAAGAAGAAAGGAGCCCTGTTTCACATTTACATTGATGGAGGATCACCATACTTTGTCAAGATGCCCAGTTAACCTGTTAATTAAACTTGTGCTGACAAAAAGATCAGTGAAGTTTTTGTTACTAAGGTTTCTCTTTTCTTGTTTCTTTTAGGAAGGCACCAAAGTAATGCAGCCCATATTTTTGGGGAAAATCATCGATTATTTCGAGAACTACGATCCCTCAGATTCAGCAGCCTTGCGCATGGCGTACGCCTATGCTTCTGTGTTGACTGTCTGTACCCTCATCTTGGCCATTCTGCACCACTTGTATTTTTATCATGTACAGTGTGCTGGGATGAGGTTAAGAGTAGCCATGTGCCACATGATTTATAGCAAGGTAAGTGCCACTCGCCATCAAGACCTGGCCCTCGCCTTTGGTGTCTGAAACATTTTGGGAATGTTTTGTGCAAATGTTTTGTGAAAAGGGTGAAAACACAGTCATTAGAGCTATGCTGGAGAAGCCCCTTGTTTGCATCAGGCTAACGGGTATCTTGCTGTCAAAGCTCATTTTTTCTTTCTCTTGGAGCAAATATTGCTGCTATGTAGGACTCTTTTTGCTGCTGCATCAATGCTGCCTTTGATAACATTTGGCCATGGGCTGTTACAAAATACTGAATTTATTATCGAATCTAATTAAAATATCAAATTGATTTTCGCTGTTTTCATGACTGAAACTCTTCATTGTGTTCATAGAAATTTTTCATTGTCTGTTTAAGCCTTTATTAACATCAAAGTTTTATTTCAAAGCAAACTTCCATGAAATTGGTTCTACCAAATTAAGTCTAAGAGAAAGGAATATATTTGTGAAAGGGAATATTTATAATTTTACAATGAATCAATTAAGTGTTTCCGGTATAGTTTGATAGCTGAGGAAAATGTCAGTGGAACCAAGCCAAATACAGGAAGTGTTTATTTTCTAGAACTATTGGCTCTTGTTTCAAAGAGTGTTTAAGGAAATACTGGGATGTTTGGGATGCTACTTTCCATTTGAGATTGTGTTTTAGTAATTGTGGAGAAAATATGCAATTTTTCTATTTCGTGTTGCTTTTCATTCAATTTCAATTTTTGTGTCAAATTTCCTTTCCCTTTATGGCAGTTGGAAGGGTCCGATGTGATTTGACTTGTATTGAGAACTGCATGACATTGTGCCACAGTTTGCCTGCTCTTCTTTGCTTGAAAGGATGGAGTTTCGGACCTTTACACAGATGTTGCCATGGGGAGGCTGGGATGGGAGCTGCAGGTCTCTGTCTACTGCATCCTGCGTATCTCTTTGCCTGGGACTGTCTAAAAATTTTTTTTAAAATCTTCATTTAAACAGAAAAGCAAATAATTTAAAGTGTTGCTTCTTCTACCTCAGTGCTAATTATCTAGGACTTCTGTTTATTATGAATTCATTTCTTTGCAAAATGCAGAGTATTTTGTCGCAGCCTCCTTGGAGCAGTGTTTTACCAAACTTGAACACGAATCTTGGAGGCCTAGTATCTTGGCTGGCTGCAGCATACACTTGTGGCTTCCTTGTCTGGACATGGAACTGGTGCAAATGCCCATACATTCTAGTGAGAGGATCTTTTCTGCTTTCCCCTCTCCTCTTTCCCCTCAACTCCTCCTCCCTCTCCTTCTCATCACCATCATCATCATCTTTGTTTTCCTGTTGTGCTCCCTTCTGCCATTCACAAGATGTGTACTCCGGTTTCTCTGTAAATGGGCTAGGTTTTGATCTTCCCAGCTCCTGGCTATTTCCAGTAAACAGGTAGGAACTGGTCATTAGCACTCAGCCTACGGGAATGCCCCTTGGAGGCTGCAGGCAGGCTTGGTGTGCTGGCTCACCCATGCAGGGCTCTTATGAGCTGTGGTCCCCTGTTTTTCTTCCCCTTTACACCAAGGCTTTGGAAAGCAGCCTTTGGGAAATCTGAGCCAACCTGGCAGATTTGCTTACCTGACTGTAAATATCTCCCAAAGGTATTAATTTGCCAGCTTGATTGCTCTAGAATTGTCTCTGTGCGAAGTCGCGAATTGCTTGGACTAAACCATAGACTTAACCTGAAATTCCAGAAATGTGAGAAAGCCAAGTGCCCTCTCATGCCAGCCGGTACCCTGGAAAAATGCCAGTGAACAAATCCACAGTTGCTTGCATGTAGGCTGCTTCCTGAGGGTAGAAGCTGGTGCCAGGAGCACCTGTGATTGGCTCACCTTGAAGAATTTGCACTGTGTGCCCAGATCTGACCCCAGCTCCCAGGCCTGGGGCAAAATCTGATTACGTTATTAGGGAAGTGACTGCTAAGTTCATGGTTGTGTGTGGCATTGGTTCAGCTCCCGGGACTGTATCATATGGGAAAATAACTTGTTATTTACAAAGCAAAAAAAAAAAAAAATCACTTTTAGCTTTTCATCATTGGTTTTTGTTTTAATCATAGAAAAGTTTGTACACCACTAAGTTTAGCAGTTTAATCATTATTTTTAAAATATTGATTTCTAAATCTTTAAAATGGGGCCTACACAGTGATGTAGTGGATAAAACTATTGCCTGGGATACCAGCATTCCATGTGGATTTTGGCTAAAATCCCAGCTGCTCCACTCCCTTTTTTCTTTTTATTTTCAAGATTTATTTATTTTTATTGCAAAGGCATATTTATAGATGGAAGGAAAGACATAGAAAGGTCTTCTGTCTGCTGGTTCATTCTTCAGGTGGCCGTAATGACCAGAACTGAGCCAATCTGAAGCCAGGATCAAGAAGCTTCTTCTGGGTCTCCCATGTAGTTGCAGGGTCCCAAGGCTTTGGGCCATCCTCTGCTGCCTTCCCAGGCCACAAACAGGGAGCTGGATGGGACTTGAAGCAGGTTGGACATGAACTGGCACCCGTAAGGTATCCTGGCATACGCAAGGTAAGGATTTAGCCACTGAACCATCGCTCCAGGCCTAGCTGCTTCACTTCTGATGTAACTCCTTATTAATGTGCCTTGGAAAACAGCAGAAGATGGCCTGAGTGCTTGGGCCTCTGCACCTACATGGGAGACCCAGAAGAAGCTCTTGGCTTCAGACTCTGGTTGTTGTGACCATTCAAGGAGAGAATCAATGGATGGAAGTCTTTGTCTCTCCTTCTCTATCACTCTGTCTTTCAATAAAGAAACAAATCTTTACTAACGATTTAAATTAGAGACTTAAGAGTTATAGTTAAAGATTTAACAAGATTTATTTCTTTGTTTGAAAGAAAAAGTTAGAGAGAGCAGAAACACAGAAAGAGAATGACTTACAGGCCTGTTACTGTAGGCCTCAAAATGACAAGCCCTATAACAGACCTTACAGCTCATACATTAGCATATGGATTACAGGTTAAATCCTCCTTAGACGTGAAGCTGTAAATTTTAAACATGGTAGTCGTTCATCCAGCCTGGGAATCTGTGTGTGTGTGTGTGTGCATGCGTGTATGTTTCTCTTTTTTTTTCTTTATTTTTGACAATCTTTACATAGTTAATTAGGGCAAAAAAGGTTCAAGGACTACAGGAAAGTGGGTAAGGCTATTATTTCCACATTGTTTTTTTTCTTGTATCTGGGATTAGGGGGGATAAAGGGAGAAGCCCCAACCAGTCTCCCACCCATCCCAGGTCCCTGATGTGGGACATGCTCCGAAGGTCTTGCTCAAGTGGTTTTGATAGTTCAACAGTTATTAATTGCTGCCAGTCTTGCCATTCCTAGCATGATGAGGTCGCTGCAGAATCCACTGATTGACATAGTCCACCTTAGAGTCTCCGTTTGCCCAGTTTTTCACTGCCAACATATGGCTAGGGTAGTTGATCGATTTGTTCTGTCCTCTCTTGTGGTGCCAGGTATCCTTTGCAGGTTCTGATAGACTGCCATATCCTCCATGTGCACCTGGTTATGCTCTCCACTGCTCCATCTGAGCCTCTGAGAAGGCTCGGCTCTGGCACTTGCACTCCATGGCAGACGATGGGTTCTGAGTTCGGCAGTTCGATTGGGGAGATCCCAAAAGAAACTTTGAGGTGATCCCAGACCAGATTCATATGTGTACTTGCAAGTTCAGAGACTGGTACAGTCCATCACCTGCTTTGGAAAGGATCCCACTGAATCGAGAGGGTGAGAGTGCTGTGAGATGGAGATGGGATTCTAGGCACAGAGAAGTGGGAAAGGTATTCAGGGAATGACAGCAGCACAGTTTGCATTAGAAGAACAGAGGGCATGAAGAAGGATATTCAGAAAGGCACATGAGGACCAGGGAGCTGATGGTCTGATCATGGAGAGGGAGCTACCTAAAGGTGTGCTTTGTTTTTCGTTCAGAGTTCATATTGGTTGATTTACTCCTCAAACGCCCATGTAGACTGAGATCCAAGCTAGGGATCCCCTTTAGCGCTCTCTCCTGCATGGGTGACAGGGGCCCAGTTACCTCAGCTGTCACTGCCAAACCCAGAATAATCATGGGTGGAAACTGGACTCAGGAGGCACAGGAGGGCATTCTGAGGTGGGGCATGGGAGTGTTTAACCGCTAAGGCCAAATGCCCACTCCCTTTTAGTTTTTGAGTAAGAGAGATGATGATGGTCAGGGTGGTGACTTAGGAACTGTGCTCCAGCCAAGTCTCTCCCTATTGAATTAAGTTGGAGACTGATGAAGATCAAGTGACCATTTATGTGTCAATCTATTTCTGGTTTCTCCATTCTGTTCTCTTCATCTGTGTGTCTTGCTTTGTGTGATACCAAATTCTCTTGGTTGCTCTAGCTTTGTAAGTGTTGAAATCAAGTAGTGCTAAGCATCCCTTCCTGTTTTCATTTTTAAATTGCTCTGGCTATTGTGAAATCTTTTGCATTTTCAAGTAGATGTTAGCTTATCATTTCCACAGAAAGGGACATTGGTATATTCATTGAAATTACATTAATTTTACAGAATAGTTCAGAGGAAATGGAGATCTTAACATTATTCAGATTTGCACTACGTGAATAATGCACATCCCTTCATTGTGTCATACTTTATTTTCTCTTGTTATTCTTATAGTTCAGTTACATATTTTTTTAACATTTTGTGTTTTTGTTATTTCTAAACAATATTTTAAAGTTTTTGCTTTCTATTTGTTGCTATATACACAGATGCAATTTCTTTTTTTGCTTCTGCATTGTTTTTAATTCCGTGATAAATAATGATACAATTAACTATTAGTTTTTGGTGTATTTCTTAGAATATCTGTACAATAATCATGTCTTTGAAGAGACACCTGTCATTTATTCTGTCTAGTTATCAAGCATTTGTGTTTTGACTTCTAAAGTCTTTTGCTAGGCTCATATGCACAGTTAGGTAAGATGTATTTGTATTTAAATGCTCCCGTCATTAC